CTTGTTGCTGACAAGAGCATGCTCTTGGTTTTGAACAGGATGTAAGTCAGAGGATCTGGCTGGCCCTTCCTGCTTGTTGCTGACAAGAGCATGCTCTGGGTTTTGAACAGGATGTAAGTCACCATCCGACTGTTCTTCTCTACTTGTTGTTGATAAGAGGGTGGCCTGTGTTTTAAATAGAAGGTAGGTCTCAGCTTTCTTCTCTTTTCATTTTGCTAAGAAATGATGAGATTGTCAGTTCAGTTCTACAATTTTAGAAAAACACTTATGAAACTCCACTTGTTCAAATAGACAGTCAGTATTTTATTGTTTCTTCCAATATTTTTATAAAAACCAGTAGTATTGACTGAACCAATTACTATTTTTAGGCAAAGGATGTCCTCAATCATACAGACTGGTCCTTGGTAAACCTTCACTAGCTTCACTGTGTAAATGCTATTCATTATTCTGACCACCACATAATTCTATCCAGATTCACAATACCAAATCCTTCAAGGACATTGCCTTTCTATGTATTGGTGTGTCTACTCTCATTTATGACCACTCTATCATAACTACTACTTTACTGCTCAGTGACTGCTATCATTGCAGAGCACTCTTTCTTTCTGTGGAAACAGAATCCTTCAAAGTCCACTGCCCCCTTTGAATCAGCCATGCAAAAGTTCAACTTGTCTGCTGATGTGGCAAAAATTAAAATTGCCATCAAGGCGGCCTCTCGGCTTAAAACTGAGGACCAAAAGAAACAGGCCCTTGTAAAGATTGCTATGGACAATTGTCTTTGTGAGTATCAATATTCCAAGTCTTTCAAGGTCTTCTCATTTATTTGATTTTAGCTTTATAAAAGTTTCAGCCCACCTTGCCAGAATTTCATAAATGCAGCACATGTCTCTAGTTACCACCCATTATGATGCACCTTTTGCCTTGTTGTTCCCAAAAAAATAGATTGTGTCATTTGAGTAAAAGAAAGTCAAGGATGGTAATTTCTTTTAAAGCCCACAAGCTTTTCATGTTCTCAAGCTTCCACAGCTTGAGGGTGCCCTTGAGTTGTCTTCACAGTGTATGTGTATGGGAGTTCAAAGAGTTGTTAGAGGGGGGTGAGATGATACATGATTTACATATTCTCTAAAGTCTGTCAGAAAAACACAAAAGATACAGATACATATTCCACATTGCAATGTATTCACAAAGAAAGAGGAGTTCTAAGTACCAACAGTGGTAAAAAAAATACAGGTACAAGAAACGACGGCTAGCAATGAGGGAGGACTGGGGAGGTACAGATGAAGGGAGAGTGGCATCAAACTCAAAAAGACGTAGTCAAGTCGACCTCAATAGTCGGCACGATGCTTGCAATAAACTTGAGGAAAACAACCAGATAGAAATTGACCCTCATCCCCTCCACCTCCTCTTCCTCAGCCCCAGCTTGAAGCTGTTGAACATCCTTGGCACTCCCAGACGACTTTCGGCTGAATGGCCACTTCTTCTCTTTCTTCGGGGTGTCCTTCCCTGAGGGTTTACCACGCTGCGCGAGCTGTTCCTCGACGACACTGTTGTTCATCCTTTCTATTACCTTCTTCATGACGCTGGCATGTCTGCATGGATGCACGGAGGCGGCTTGGAGAGAGGCAGAGTGGATGAATGGTTCAATCGTTACTGTTTTCTGGGCGTGGTCTGCTGAGATGTCTTGGAAGATTTGGGAGGGGGTGGGGTGCAGTTCTATTGTTTCCGTTAGCTAGTGTATTAGAAAAATGGGCAAAAGGTGAACCTCATTGTAGCCGATCAACCAAACACGTGGGGTCTGATAATACTTGTCGTATGTGGTCATTACATTGTACATGTGGACCTGAAGCAGATTCCCCTTTGCGACTTCCACATTGGCATTACAAAGATATTGTCAGCATTCTTTCAATTTCCAGCATACCCAATGACAAAACATACCTAGCATCAACCCCGGCGGCAGCAGGTATAACCGAGGCCTTGGGCGCAGCCGTAGCCGTAGCCTCATCATCCCCCTCCTCCAAATCATCCTCCTCCATATCAGGGATATCATCCAAATCAGGCATCTCCGCCCCAACACCCTCACCCCCTCCCCCACCCAACGACACACCCAACAAGCCCCTCACAATCCTCTCCTCATCCCCATGCAGCCCATCCCCATCCAAATCAGGGATATCCCCAATCTCACCTGCGTTCGTCGCAGAGTCCGTTCGATGCGCCTGCCGACCCGTGTGTGTCTCAACCCAGTTGTCGCCGTCTGTGGAGGGGGAAGAGGAATCAGCAAAGGAGAGGAGGCACTCGGCGTCCTTGTCTGCATCTGTGTAGGCTAGGGAGGTGGCGCGCCGGAGGCAGGGGACACCACACGTTACTAGGTATTGTTTGTCTTGTGGGAGGAAGTCGCGGGATTTGGATGCGTCTCCTTTT